CCTCCCCCATCTTCAACGTGTGAAGCGACCCCTCATCGCATCATCACCGTCAACCCACCCGACCTCTCTCTCTCTCTCTCTCTCTCTCTTTCTCTCCATCACACAACATCGAAACTGCGACACAATGGCGTCCGGCGTCAGGCAGTTCCCCACCATCAAGGCCGTCCGGTCCTATGTCATCGACGGCGTCGGTGCTGGAGGCGATTACCACAACGTCAAGGGTGGTCACTGGTGAGTTTGATCCATTCTTCCCTTCTGAGTCCGATCTGCTGCATTTCTGGGAAAAGAACAAAACTGCTTTCTGGACGACCTGGTTCTCCAATGCCCAGGGTGCCAAGCGTTGGCGGGCCCCCGGGGGCATTGGGAAGCCAGGCGAGGGGGGTGGGCAAGAAACCAAAGAATGTCGAGAAGAGAGAACAAAGAAGAAAGAGAATAGGCTAACGAGGCGCCCATCGATACAGGCTGATCGACTCGCCCATCTCGACCCCCTCTTCGCGATGGGAGAAGTACCGCAAGTCCCGTACCAGCTGGGGCATCAACGTCCTCGGCTCCTTCTTCGTCGAGATTGAGGCCACCGACGGCACTGTCGGCTTCGCCACGGGCTTCGGTGGCCCCCCGGCCTGCTGGCTCGTCCACCAGCACTTTGAGCGCTTCCTCATCGGCGCCGACCCCCGCGACACCAACCTCCTCTTCGAGCAGATGTACCGATCCTCCATGTTCTACGGACGCAAGGGTCTCCCGATTGCCATCATCTCCGTCATCGACCTCGCCCTCTGGGATCTCCTCGGCAAGCTGAGGAACGAGCCCGTCTACAAGCTCATCGGTGGTGCCACCAAGGACCGCATGGACTTCTACTGCACCGGCCCCAACCCGCCCGCCGCCAAGGCCATGGGCTTCTGGGGTGCCAAGGTCGCCCTGCCCTACTGCCCTGACGAGGGCCACATTGGCCTCAAGAAGAACGTCGAGTACCTGCGCGCCATGCGCGAGAGCGTCGGCCCCGACTTCCCCCTCATGGTCGACTGCTACATGTCGCTCAACGTGTCCTACATCATCGAGCTCGCCAAGGCCTGCGAGGACATCAACATCAACTGGTGGGAGGAGTGCCTGTCGCCCGATGACACGGACGGCTTTGAGCAGATCAAGCGCGCCCACCCCACCAAGAAGTTCACGACGGGCGAGCACGAGTACTCGCGCTACGGCTTCCGCAAGCTCGTCGAGGGCCGCAACCTCGACATCATCCAGCCCGACGTCATGTGGCTCGGTGGCCTGACCGAGCTGCTCAAGGTGTCGGCCATGGCGGCCGCCTACGACATTCCCGTTGTGCCCCACGCCAGCGGCCCCTACAGCTACCACTTTGTCCTGTCGCAGCCCAACACGCCCTTCCAGGAGTACCTCGCCAACTCGCCCGACGGCAAGAGCGTGCTGCCCGTCTTTGGCGACCTCTTCCTCGACGAGCCCATCCCCAACAAGGGTTTCCTCACGGCCGCCGATCTCGACAAGCCCGGCTTCGGCCTGACGCTCAACCCCGCCGCCCGCTCCAAGCTCATCTCCGCCGACAGGTGGCTCAACCCGGCGCCCGTCGCCGCCCTGACGCCCGCCGCACCCGAGGTCGAGGCCCCCAAGGCCGTCGAGGCTCCCAAGGAGGAGGCGGCGCCCGCCGCTGCCGTCGCCGCCCCCGTCGAGGAGGCCAAGACCAACGGCGTCAACGGCACCGCCACCACCACCACCAACGGCGTCAACGGCGTCGTCCACGACATTACGGCCAAGGTGCAGGAGCTGACGACGGGCAGCGCCGAGCCCGTGGCGACAAACTAGACGAATGGAAGAAGGATGGTGCATGCATGCGAGTGCGGTTTGTACAAATCGGGTACGGGCTTGGGAACGAAATGATGTAGACGAATACCAATTTTGGAGTAGAGAATGAATTTCAAGTTTAGCATCACGCAGCATATTTTTGCCTCGATTGCGAGGGGAAGGGATGCCTTTGGAATAAACACAATGAACATGGTCTCAGGCTCGTTGTCGTAGCGCTGTCCCTGACACCTTTCACTCACTTGCCGATGATCGATCATCATGAGATGCCCCCACGGATATGTACTGTAGAAAATGGTGTCATCTCCCTCCAAGCCCACCAATCACGCGAGATGAAACAGCTGCATCGATGCGACGCTGTTCTCTACGGACGCCGCAGTTCGAATGCCATTTGTCGGACGACGGTTCCGAAACAGCATTGCATTCGTGGCTCGCTGGTGTCATGATGGGTGATTTGTGTGCCCGCTGTACCAAGTACAATTTTTCGGGGCCCGCCATCCGCGCAAAGTTGCGTCTCGCTGCAATTGCGCCCGAAGCGCGGGGCGACGCGGGGCAGTCTAGGGGACCCCCATCCAGTGGATCTGCGCGCGCCCCCCTTTGCGCTCGCTGCTGGCAAACCCCCCTTGCCCCCCCTCTTGGCGGCACAAGGGAAGCCTGTCAGGGGGGCTCCAGGGGAGTGGGTTCCACTGGACGGTGCCCTGGCGGGATCCTCTTGGGCCTTTAAGGTCTGGGAGCCTCCAACCCGGGGACCGAGTCGCGTTGCGTGGATGAGTAGGAGAGACGGAGAGAGGAAGAAGAAGAAGAGGGGGGAGCACTTACAGACGGGCGGGCAAGGCGGACTTATGGAGGAGTGCCGCTACAAGCACTGGAAGTAGGCAGGTACCTCAAGGTGCCCAGGATAGGTACCTTGCCTGCAGGCGGTTTTTGCTCACGGGATGCACGGCGGCTGTCACGCCTCGGCGGATCCCTTGCTGTATTTTGTGTGTTAAATAGGCTGTCCATACACTCCATCTCGCTCCATCGTGACATTTTGCTTTCCTGCCATCGTATCTGCTCCATCTCCGTTGCCTCAGACACCTCAACTCTGTCCGATTCTTGTCTGGCCGATTGTCTGACCGATTCGTACTTTCTGCCGATTCATTGGTCTCATCGACACACTGCTTCTTGCTCACCCTCAGCAGTCACGACCCCTCACTCGCTGCTGCCCCTGCTGCCTTGCCCCTCCTATTCTCACGACCCCTCGGTGACCCCTCCTCCAGACCGAAACCAGCTTCAGGCACCTGAGGCCTCACACACACACACTCACACACACAACCGCCATGGCGCCTACAAACCTCCTCGTCGGCAAGACGGCCATCATCTCGGGCGGCACAACGGGCATTGGCCGTGCCATTGCCCTCGAGTACCTCCGCCAGGGCGCCAACGTTGTCGTCAACCACCTCGGCCTCGAGAAGGACCAGCCTCACCTCGACTCGCTCATCGCCGAAGCCGCGTCGGCGCCGGGCCGCCTCGCCCACCTGACGGGCGACATCCGCGAGCCGGCGACGGCGGCGGCGACGGTCGAGCTGGCCGTGCAGCACGCGGGCAACGGGCGGCTCGACATTTGCGTGTCCAACGCCGGCATCTGCACGTTTGCCGAGTTTCTCGACCTGACGCCCGACCTGTTCACGCGGACGGTGCGCACGAACCTCGACGGCGCCTTCTACTTTGTGCAGGCGGCCACGCGCCAAAAGATCTATATGTCTCCATACGTAGATATATATATCTAGTCGTTTGCAATGCGGGTGGATGGGGATTGCATTTTAGCGGAGGGGCGGAGTGGTGGGGGAATATCTTCGGGAGGGGGAAAGAGAAAAAAGAATAGTCGCGGGAGGGGAGGGGGGAGGGGAAGAAAGAGGAGAGACACGGAAGAAAGTAGAGTACCAGCGATGTCGAGAGTAGGGGTAAGACGTAGCGGGGCGTAGTAGAGACAGTTATAATAGTATTGAGTAAGAGTTTAGTGGAAGAAAGAGGAGAGAATGATGGCGAATAGTCGCAAAGATGGCAGGATGAATGAAGGAAGGAGCGAGTGGAGTAGAAGGGAGGAAGTACCAGGAGGGAGGAGTTAGGGGCCCGGAATGATAGCAGTATGGCATGGGCAGCAAATGGAAAGAAGTGATGGAAGCGCAGAGTTTGGAATGGGTGGAGATTAAAGCGTGGGTTAGGCAATGAATGTGGACGTAGCGCGTAGACTCAGGAGA